CATGCTCACGCATTTGCATAGGAAGTGCTATATGAGCACATTTTCATTTTTTGATAGTGTCATATGCATAAATTTACTCTCACGGCACCTGGGTTCATTGCCCATGAGAGTCAAGTTTATTTGTATCGTATGCTGGGCTGTGCCAGGACAGCATGAAAATAAAATGTATGTCCAAGAATAAATACATTTATTTTATTTGATTACTTTGTAAATGGCACAACTCAAAACTATATGTTTAACTTTTTAAAGACAATCCGTTACTTACCAGGATTTTTTATATATTTTTTGCCTATCCCTTGTATTAAACAAATAGGTGTTTCCTGAGGAATGGAAAATAAAATTAAAGGGCCACTATAGTCACCAAAACAACTACAGCTTATTGTATTTGTTCTGGTGAGTAGAATCACTACCTTTTTGCAGTAAACACTGTCTTTTCAGTGGCTAACTCCTAGGGCTAACTCCACTGGCCACTCCTCAGATGGCTACTAGAGGTGCTTCCTGGGTCAGTACTGCAATCCAGTGTCTCTACCCTCTGCATGCAGACACTGAACTTTCCTCATAGAGATGCATTGATTTAATTAATCTCTATGAGGAGATGCTGATTGGCCACGGCTATTTTGACTTGTGTTGGCTCTGCCCCTTATCTGCCTCATTGACAATCTCAGCCAATTTCTATAGGAAAGCATTGTGATTGGCTCACAGAATCACTTCTGATGATGTCAGCTGTAAGCAGGCAGGTCATGGGCAGAGGCAGCAGCTGCAGACTTGAATACATGAATACAAGTAAGACTTTACTATATTTAGGGAGGCAACGGGGAATGGGAGAGAGGGGGATGGAGAGGAGGGGGGTAGAGGTAGCTAGATGGTGGTTTTAACACTATATGGTCAGGTATACATGTTTGTGTTCCTGACCCTTTAGTATACCTTTAAATATTGAATTCCATGATGCTGTATTTATCTCTATCCTGGAAATGGGTGCCTCCATTTTGGCTCATTTCAATCTTTGCTATAATAAGCTCTGCCCTTCGCACCAGGCAGTAAGCATGGAGTAGCACAAAAAAATAGGTTAACACAAGCTTTAAGTGAGTATAATAATTCTCCAACTCAGCTGTAGTCATAGCTTGGCTTCTGTAGTTTGAATTTTGCAATTCAGTTTTCCGTTAATTACCATTCAGTGTTTAGTAGTTAAACACCTTTAGTAAAGAACCCTGCATGCAGTGGCATCTAATGAATTTAAAGATTTTGAGGAGCTGCCAACCCCCTCATCTCCACCACCCCCAGCTTATTGGGTTTCACCCACCTAACATGAAATGCATTTCCCACCATCGATAAAGGGGAGAATGGAAACTATAGATCTAATTATGACAGACACGTGTTTTTTTCTAATGTTTATTGGCAATCCTTACAATGCTAATAAATTAGATGTTATTTAAATTGTTACTATATTTTTGGCCATTAGTGTATGCAAAAAACACAAACTGTAAGCAATTTGTGATATTCTTATTGTAGACTATCTGGAATATGGAATGGACTCTCCAGTCAAAGCAATAATCAGACGCCATGAAACGCTGTCACTGACCAATGAGAGTTTGATAAACAACCTGACCGCCGTCGCTGACGAACAGGAGAACAAACAGCACTTGCTTGATATGCTACAAAGGAGTCATGACACCTCTATGCTGGTATTTACCTAAATATCTCACACATTCAATTACTACTTCTTCCATTACAGCATTAAACAGTTCCTTAACTAACATATGGGGGAGAAACTACTAATCCCTTAAATCTCAGGTGGATGGGAGTTTATGGAACAAAATTAGAAAATTAGATGCTCTTGATCAGAGATCTCATCATGGCATGAGAGGGCATCTGGGGACACTTTCAAGATAAGTAGTGTGACTTTTCATTTCATATATTTTTTTAACATTTTTTCATCGAGCACATCCGTCAGAGTGTAGTTTTATTTAAATGCATTATCTATAGAACGCAGAAGAAAATATGGGTCCAGTTAATATTTAGTACAGGTGATGATAATGCTCTTTGTGGAACCTTAGTGGCTGGGAAAACGTTGTCACTCTTGTTGATTGGTTGGTCAGTTCTGGTTAGGGGAGAAATTCTTCAGCACTGGTTCCATTCCTCTAATGCATGCAACTGAATTTGTACATGAGGTGAAAATATCAAAGCCTTCCTCATATCCTCAGCTTCATGAAATTTACCATAGCATCTCTTCTTTTTACTAGTATTGTGTACCTGACTTAATTAAGTGTTCTTGCATAGCAAGACCACTTAATGTTATCTCACATATATATTATTCTTATTCTTATTATAGCCAAATTTACCACCCTAACTCCTCCCACAGTTCTTACACTACATAGACAAAAATTTACCGAAACGTGCGGATTGTTCCCGATCGGATTGCTATTACTTTGTGGAACGTTTCGCCGAATGGTTCACGGAATATCGTCGTTCTTGTGGTGAAATTTGTCCCATAGGAATGAATGGCAAAGCTAGAGTGGGAGCTGGCAAAAGCTGAAAAATCAGGACATGATTTCTAAACTGCCACCACTCCCTTATTTTCAGGCCCACCTACACAAATCTTATATCAAAACGTTCAGCTATCCCTGCTGCCACTAAACATGTCAACGGCTAAGCCATAGTCCTGATAGTTTTCACAATATGACCATTTGTTTGCAACTAACGCCGTCCATTGACTTTCATTGAAACTTCACTCTACAAAGCTCAAATTTGAAGTGCAATTTCTAAACTGCGACTGAGCCTTCATTTTTAATACTTCAGAGACATACTATGCATCAAAATGTAGGTCTGGCTCTTCACTGTAGGATTTATAGTTTTTAAAATACGACCGTTTGAAGATGGCAACCGCCAAAATACTCTGACCTGTGTCAAGCTGCAGCAGCAAGTGATGTCATAGACAGGGCCTTTTGAACACCTGCTAATGTTTTTATAAATGTATGGTTTAATGTAACTCTGAAGCACTTTGGGCAACAACGTTGCAATTAAATGTGCTATATAAATAAATGATAACAGTTACTCCGCCCACTCCAGTTGTAGACTACTGGTGGAGGCAAGAACACTTCACACAATTTCCCCAGAAATTGTAGCTTTTCTAGTTTGACCTAAAATCATAATTTAAAGGGTCGATGGTCTATGAAGGCACAGGTTATGGAGAGAGTTTGTCTCCTTGAAGGTTATGTTTGTGATGACTCTAAATGTATTCAAGTCACTTGGCGTTTTCCTGAAGCTGTTTGCAAGAAGCCTTGCAATGTCTACTGCATTACTCATTGTTAAAATGCTCCTAGGCCATCCTGTATCATCCATCTGTAAGTCATCTGTTATTGGTTAAACCCAGTTTGGTTTAGCAAAGTATTGCTGACAAAACAATAATCTCCTTATAAAATAAGTCACAACATTTGTGTTTATCATATATAAGGCCTGCTTGGTTTGGAATAGCACTGTCTCTTTAAATTTATATCCTACCTAGTCAGTTATTCTGTACTACACACCATGGCTTGGTGACTTGACAATAGAATTGCAAAGTTTAGGATAGAACAGTAAAGTTGAAGAAATTTTTTTACCAGTTGGGTTTGCTTCTCCCCAACTATTTTTTTTTTTTCAATTTGACAATTTTTATTTTATCAGAGAACATATTTAGGGTACAGAAAGGAAAAAAGGGAGGGTAAGCAGTTGAGGTACATCGCTCTTAGACATATCTTATACATTCAGGAGCAAAGCTGGTTATTCATCCTTGTGGGAGTTCCTCCCCTACCCTTGTGACCTTGGTCGTGCTCCTTGTCAGGTTTGTCTTTCCCTCATAACCGTGTGTTTAATGCGGGGTGGGGGAAGGGGGAAACAGGGGATCGGGCAACGGGAGAAGAAAGGGGGAAACAGGCCGCGAAAGCCCCATGTCTCCCTCTGTCTCCGTCTTGGCCCCCCCAACTATTTTAACCTACATTTTGCAACTCACCACATCTCTCATAACCAATAAAGCAGATTCTATGATTTTATATCTTTATAACATCATACTATGTACCTTTATTGTGCTCATGTGTCTACATTTCCAGATGGGAAGAATCTACTGACATTTATGTGCTATAATTGTAGTAGGTTAACAAGAATTGGAAACATTCAGGCAAAATATGATGATTTAAAAATAAAATGTGCAACTCATCTATGGTCAGTTTGGTTATTTTAGTCAAAATGTTGTGATTTGGTATTCATTTCTCTACAGTTAAGACATTGAAATAATAAGTCTCTTCTGTATGGACCCAATTTAGAATGCCCTGTGAATATTCCTCCATTCTCTGCTGGTTTTACAGTGGCGCTCTGCCAACACCATTTAGACGTTTCAGTTATAGGAAACAGTTGCGCAATTAAGGGATTATGCGATGCTCATTTGACTTCAGGCGGTTGATGTTTCAATTAACAATGGCTTATTGTGCACTGAGGCCACCAAATTCAGGAATTACAGTTTCAAAATGAATGACGATTGATGCTTTTTTAGTACACAAGCAGCACTGATCTCAGCAGGCATAGGATTACTTTTTTAAGTGATGTTGAAAACTCTCAATGTGTACCTAAGGATGTTCTGCCATCTTAAGAGTTTTGCTGCGAGGGAGAGTTACATCAACCAAGGAAGAGCAAGCTGAGCAGGGAACTTGGCCTTGGCGATGGAAAAAAAGGTTACTTTAAGTGTTTCTCTCTCTCTCTTTTTTTTTTTTTTTTGCATTGGGAGGGGGACTATAGAAAGGGTCACTTTAATCAATAACTCTTTAACGTCAAAATAGCTTGGTTAGTGATTTTCTTCATTTTTTTTTGTTTTGTTTCTTTAATCCCCTTAACAGTTCTGCACACTTCATGGCTAAATAATATGCTTGGATCCTTACACACTTTGTATATGGCGCTGGCGTGGGACTTTGTATATCCTGCATTTGTGGAGCCTTGGGTCTTACACATCCTGTATGTAACACAGGCTTGGGTCCTTATACATCTTGAATATGGCACAGGCTTCGGTCATTATTCTCCTTTATATTGTCCAGGCTTCGGTCATTATACTCCTTTATATTGTACTGGCTTCGGTCATTATTCTCCTTTATATTGTCCAGGCTTCGGTCATTATACTCCTTTATATTGTCCAGGCTTTGGTCATTATACTCCTTTATATTGTCCAGGCTTCGGTCATTATACTCCTTTATATTGTACTGGCTTCGGTCATTATACTCCTTTATATTGTACAGGCTTCGGTCATTATTCTCCTTTATATTGTACAGGCTTCGGTCATTATACTCCTTTATATTGTACAGGCATCGGTCATTATACACCTTTATATTGTACAGGCTTCGGTCATTATACTCCTTTATATTGTACTGGCTTCGGTCATTATTCTCCTTTATATTGTACAGGCTTCGGTCATTATTCTCCTTTATATTGTACAGGCATCGGTCATTATACTCCTTTATATTGTACTGGCTTCGGTCATTATACTCCTTTATATTGTACAGGCATCGGTCATTATACTCCTTTATATTGTACTGGCTTCGGTCATTATACTCCTTTATATTGTACAGGCATCGGTCATTATACTCCTTTATATTGTACTGGCTTCGGTCATTATTCTCCTTTATATTGTACTGGCTTCGGTCATTATTCTCCTTTATATTGTCCAGGCTTCGGTCATTATACTCCTTTATATTGTACAGGCTTCGGTCATTATACTCCTTTATATTGTACAGGCATCGGTCATTATACTCCTTTATATTGTCTAGGCTTCGGTCATTATACTCCTTTATATTGTACTGGCTTCGGTCATTATTCTCCTTTATATTGTCCAGGCTTCGGTCATTATACTCCTTTATATTGTACAGGCATCGGTCATTATACTCCTTTATATTGTCTAGGCTTCGGTCATTATACTCCTTTATATTGTCCAGGCTTCGGTCATTATACTCCTTTATATTGTCTAGGCTTCGGTCATTATACTACTTTATATTGTACTGGCTTCGGTCATTATACTCCTTTATATTGTACAGGATTCAGTCATTATTCTCCTTTATATTGTACAGGCTTCGGTCCGTACACACCTGGTATATGGTGCAGTATAATTTTGAACATTCGTGTCATTCCTTTCTTCCTATATTGCCAATACATAAGACATGAAGTTAGGTTATCAGAGTTAGTTGGTAATCTCTAAATATGGTAAAAAGATCTTGTGAAGAGCATTCCTCTGTGCAGAGTCCATGTATCCCTGCCGGGGGAGGGGGATACCAGATATTTAGAAACATGAATAGTGGGGGTAGGAGGAGCTGAATTTAGAAGGAAAGCCTATGCATTAAATCTAAATGGTATAGAGTGTTAGCATTCCAGTAGCAGTAATTCTGTAATCTTCATCTGCAGGACGGTCCAAGTTACACTGATTTATATCATCACAATGCAAAGGCTGCAGAACACAACTTGTAAACACTTTGCAAATTTTTTGTAAAAATAGATTCCCCTGTGATTGCTCCCTATAACCTTCAAACATACATTTTTAAACTCAGTTGACTTGCATAGCTAAATTTGGCCTTTTGTCTGAATGAGGAAGTTTTAGGACTCTGCTGACCTCCAGTGGCAGGATTTTATACAGATTTATTCCGGCTTTGCAATAATGATCACTGACAAGTCCAATAGGCAGTAATATAGGTTTAGATCCAAAGAGTGTAAATTAGAATTTGTAGCAACTTGCAATCAGTAGATTGACACAGTCTCAATGTTAACTGTGTCTTCCTTTTGTGAAAGGCACTCATATGATGTATATGGCACTAGCTTGGTTTATTGTTAATATTACCCCTAGTTCCCTATTCTGCTCTTGTAATATAATACGTACTGAAATAATTTCTGCAAAAAAATGACTTTATCAGACGGTCCCCAGCATCAGAGCAATCTTTATTAGAGATGTGTGGCATTCATTAGAAATGTGAGTTAGTCAGTTGGATAAGAGCCAAATGAGGCCAGAGTATGAAGCCGTAAGTAGAACTGCTAACAGTGCACTGAGTAGTAAACAGTCATGCCTCTAAAATACTGCAAAGTAAGATCTGCTGAAGTATATTGAGCAGTAAGTGACAATGCCTGCTGTGAGTGTTCCTACCTCCAGTATATGGAGCATTACGTGGTCCTACCTCCAGTGTATGTAGCAGTAAGTGGTCCTAACTACAGTGTATGGAGCAGTAAGTGGTCCTACCTCCAGTATATGGAGCAACAAGTGGTCCTACCTCTAGTACATGGAGCAGTAAGTGGTCCTACCTCTAGTACATGGAGCAGTAAGTGGTCCTACCTCCAGTACATGGAGCAGTAAGTGGTCCTACCTCCAGTACATGGAGCAGTAAGTGGTCCTACCTCCAGTACATGGAGCAGTAAGTGGTCCTACCTCCAGTACATGGAGCAGTAAGTGGTCCTACCTCCAGTACATGGAGCAGTAAGTGGTCCTACCTCCAGTGTATGGAGCAGTAGGTGGTCCAGCCTACAGTGTATGGAGCAGTAGGTGGTCCTACCTACAGTGTATGGAGCAGTAAGTGGTCCTACCTACAGTGTATGGAGCAGTAAGTGGTCCTACTTGCAGTGTATTGAGAAGTAGGTGGTACTACCTACAGTGTATGGATCAGTAAGTGGTGCTGCCTGCAGTGTATGGAGCAGTAAGTCCCTTTGCAGTGTATTGAACTGTAAGTGGTGCTGCCAGCAATATATATAGCAGAAAATGGCAGTGCCTGCAGTGTATGGAGCAGAAAGTAGACCAGCCTGCCATGTATTGCAGAAGGTCTTGATGGTAAGATATGTCTTTTTGCTGATGATACTAATATATGTAACAGGGTTGATGTTCCAGAAGGGATAAACCAAATGGCAAATGATTTAGGTAAACTAGAAAAACTACCACAACAAGAGGATATAGTCTTAAAGCGGCACTGTCATGCCGAACTTACCTTTCCTCAATCTCTTCCTCTTCTCCCCCTCTCTCAGGATCTGTTCTTCATTTCTTCCTGTCTTCTTTAGTTTTCTTTAAAATCATAAGACAAAGTAGGGACTCTTTGCTTTATGGAGGATTCCTCCGCCTGACCAGCTCTGACCAGCGGAGGAGCAAAGTGTGCTTCATTTCCGCTGGTCAGAGCAATTTTCCCATGATCCTTACCTTTCCTCTGTGTTCCCACGATGCTTCCTGTCACTTTCCACAAAACTGCCGAATTGCGTTCTAACTGAATGACAACAGTATGTTCGTTTCTTTTAGAACGCAATTCGGCACTTTATTCGGATCGGAATTTCATTCTAATGAATGAAACTCC